TTGAATACGCCATGGGGAGCTTGCCAGGCTCTGCCATGTGGGCGAGTAAAGCATGTACTCTCCGTAGCTTGCCAGACTCTCCGAGAGGGACAGAGGAATTGAACCCAGATCGGCCACGTGCAAGGCAAATGCTCTATCGCTCCAGCTCTAAAATAAGTTTAATATAACAAAATTATATGAATGCTCTCTTAAAATACCTTATTGTGTCTAATATTTTTTGGTTTTGATTTTGGGCCACTCATGGTAGCCTCCAGGCTTACTCATGGCTCTGTGCTCAGTGATCACTCCTGGTAGGAATTGGTGATATAGGGTTTTGGAGACTGAATCTGAGTCAGTGGTGTGCAAGATAGAACTTGCTGTACGATCTCTCCAGCCCAAAAAACTAACATTTTTTGAATGGTCGTTCATAGTTGAGTAAGTGAAAGTGCTAAAAAGTGAACCTCAATTGTAAGAGGGCCAATTGTATATTGAATATAAAATATAAAAAATGAATCATTGATAAAAATAATAAAACTGCATAGCCAGTATATTGCTTACTTGGAATTCATATCAGGTAGTCTGACTATAGTAGCTGTGTCCTTACCAAAGATCTGTCTTTGAAATGATCTATAATAAGCACATTATATTTTTATGGAATTGACATATGAGCTTCTTTTGGTTTTCATGAAAAGAATTTACAATATTATAAACTATTACTTCAATTTTCTACAGAAAAAGAGAAAGCAACATTGTTTCCTGTTGGTATAAAAAGAGTAGGTGAGGGTCAGAGAAGTAGAACAGCATCTAGGGCACTTGCCTTGCATGCACCCATCCTGGGTTCGATCCTTACACCTCATATGGTCCTCTGACCATGCCAGCAGTGATCTCTGAGTTCAGAGCCAGGAGTAAGTGCTGAGCACTTCCAGGTATGGTCCCAAATCACAAAAGTATGTGTTTATATTAATGTACCATCTATTGCTATCAGTATTTCTTAAAGTTGGAAACTTAGCTCAGAGCCAATGTAATATAAGCAAATCCAGTTATATATAAATGTTTTAATCTAAGTGCTCAGGAATAATAGAAAGAAAGTTTCAATAACAATATGAATCATGTGTGCATGGAGAGCTTTTTTGAATATACAAAAAAAAATTCTAAATCTTTCATTAAGACATTTATTTGAAAAATTCACCTTCTGTAGCAGCGAGAAAAACCTGCTCCCAGTAATTAATGGCTAGAAAAGATGTGTTTGTCTTTCTTGTGAATGAAAAATAATTATAAAAAAGGGAACATAAATTGTCAAACGATTTTGCCCATGACCTTGGTTTACTAACCATCCCCCTCTCTCTTCTATTCCTAACATACAGACTCTGTGTTATTGGAATGAAGGAAGTAAGGCTGTACCAATGTATATTTGTTAAAGCATGTACTGTCAAATATTTTTTTAAAGTAATTAGAGGATGTAGTAGAGTATTAATTAGAATCCAATAGAATGAAATCATACTGATCTAGCTTGCCAAAGACATTACCTGTGTGTCAGAAAGACATGTTTATGGCCAGCATGTTAGTATTGCATGCCAATAATTGGAGCAGGTGGTCATTAGAGACTTTTGCAGGGAGCCAGATCATTTTCCTCATGAATAGCTTGGTAAGGTCCAGGCACTCATTTCTCCCTGAATTAAAAATTATTTCACCTCAAATTGCCAGGGTACCTGTTCACAATGCCAAGGAAGTGCTTTAGCAGTTCTCCTTTTCCAAACAGGATGATTGACTGTGGTTAGGGGTTTTTAATCTGTTTTATTGGATAAACTCAAATATCTGCTTTATTGGATAAATTAAAAATATCTGTTAGTTGCCTTCTTTCTTTTTACAAACAGCATAATTGAAAGCATTGTTTTGGTAGAATCATCTCAGAAGACCACATAATCACCATTTAAATTAGCCCTAATTCATTTTACATTCGCTTATTTTACTGTTAATTTTCCCAGAACTGTATTTTTTTTTACAATTAGAACATCTGAATTTTAATTACATTACCATCAAGAAGCTCATTAAAGTCACTTAATTGGCAACATTTCCAAAAAAACCTTAGCTGGGTTTAATATATTTTAAAGAGTTACTGTCAAAGTATAATTTCACCATTACAAACAGCTTGGCAACAACATTTGCATAAAGATCTGTCAGTTTCTGAAAAATGCTCAAATGTTGGGAATATCAGATTCGTTAAGTCGCCTTTACTGAAACAGTCTAGAAATGGGGAAATTGTCACAGATTCATTTTTGTAACCCCTGCAGCACCCAGAATACTGCCGTGCACAACACTGACATGAAAAAAAAATGTTTCTTAAAAGAAACTAATCTTATAGCTTATATATACTTCGAGATAAATATTAAAATGTTTTATCTAATAAGTTATGTCATTTATGTTAAATTTAACCAACTACCTAATTTCTTGCTTCTAATAAATACTAGTTAGGTGCTTAGAATTTGAAAATCTTTTAAAATAGTTCTGCTCATTCTGAGGTCAGATTTGGAAAAATTCTTTAAACAATTGACATTTGTAGATGGTCTAATTATAGTTTCCCTCTTAAACTCATTAGACTCTCATTCTCAGAGTACTTATCATATTTGAATTTGTATCCTAGTTATACTATTTTCTAACCTTTATAAGACTGTAAGTTCTACCTGCAGAAATGTGCCCTGTTTAATAGACATGCACCCTCCCCTCTTCTTTTTGCATACTGGGGGTGATATGAGGCGGCAACATAAACTCTTGCACTTGCATCTGTTGAATGGATCTATGAAAATACCAAGTTCTTGATACTTTGAAGGATTCATTAGGGTGTTGGTATTCCCACTCTTAAATCTCATATGCAACAATAAAATGTGGTAGAGGATACATATTACACTCTAGCTTTCTGCAAATAAAGAAGATAAAACTTTTTAAAATTCATCTTTTTAAGGTGGTATTTTTCCTATTGAGATATCTCAATAGGAAACTTGAATCTTGGTTTGGTTCTTATGAAACTTACATCTTCTAAACCAGAAAAAGACTCTTCCAAAGCAGCATAAAACATGGAATCAAAAAGTAATTTGCCACTCAATTTACAGTCTTGCTATCCACTACATCCTCAAATTATTTCTAGACAGACTCAATAAATGTTTGTTGAATGAACATTCATGAATGCATGCTGGGTCCTGAGGAGGACCTGAGTGGGTCACAGAAGTTTCAGTATAAGCAGAAAATTTCACTCTTTCATAAACATAGAGGTACTCAGTCATAAGCCTAATGGTGAGACTCAACCATATTCTACTTTTTAAGGCACATGCTTTCTGTGAAGATGGCAATGTTCGACCTCTAATATTTACTTTATTCTTTTATTTTTTAGGCACTAGAGACTCACTTGAAGTTTATATATGGAAAATAACTTAATTTGCTCGAGCGGGCCCAGTAACTTAATTAGTTTTGGGCAAATTTTTTTTAATCAGGTAAAGGTCTGAGCCTGGAGACCTCTTAATGCATGGGATTGATATTAGAAACCACTTTCACAAATTCCACAGAAGCAGAAAATGATTATAGTAACAAACTTTTCTGATGACTTTTAATTGCCTAATTTTTTTCCTTGAGAGTGATTTAGAAACAAATCTTGGTTAATTCCTTCTCTCTTAATGGAGAAAATGAGTGATTAGAAAATTACAAGGAAATTCAGACTTGTTTGAGAAGCTTCTCTATGCACAATTGAAAGGAAAAGAAGCAGAAGGACCTTCTCTATGGTCCTTAGTTCATTACTGGTGACATAGAGAGACACAGGTGAGGTAGAGGCTAGTTTTGAATCAGTGAGAGATTACTCAGGCTTCCTGTGTCCTCTAAAGCATGTCCTCGTGGTGGTGAGATGGGCTCTATGATAGAGTGGGAGGAATGGTTTCTCAAAGCAGTAGCAAAAAGAGTGATGAACTGAGATGTATCTATAACGTTTAGAGTGGTCTGTGGTTTGTGATATTTGTAGCCCCTTCATTTGTAATGTTCCATGCATTGATCAGCTCTTCAGCTTCAGAGAATCAAGAAAGAATCAGGCTAGAGGTGGGTAGAAATCATCCCTAGAAATCTCGGGCAAAAGAAACCTCTCCTAAGGGCTGGATCAATAGCACAGTGGGTAGGGTATTTGCCTTGCACTCAGCAAACCCTGAGCACCACCAGGAGTAATTCCTGAGTGCATGAGCCAGGAGTAACCCCTATGCATTGCTAGGTGTGACCCCCTCCCTCCAAAAAAGAAAAAGAAATGTCCCCTAGACAGCTTCTGGGATACTTCCAACATTTGCTTAAGAATTGTCTTTGGAGTCCTGAGAAGAATCATTTTAGTTTTGTCCATATCATAGAGAAGACAAGACACCTGCAAGTTTCAAATTGATAGAGTCATTCATCAGAGCATTACCTTTATTGTAGCAGACATTGCAGCAATATTTTTGTCATTCAAAATGAACACCATAATATAGAACTAAAACCCACAAGAAGGCACACATAGATATAACACTTTCCTTTCCTCTTGTTGATTTGTTTATTTATTTTAGCTTGATGTGGCTTAGCAATCTGAAGGCATTTACCAATACTAATTTTAAAAAGGGTTACAAAATATAAGCATTTCCAAATTTAAAGCACTTCTTAAGAGACTTCCGAATTTAAAATTCTGACGTTATTCTTATCAAATTTTGTTGGCAATGCTGAAGAAGTCTTCTGTAAGACACTGAGTAAACATTTCTTGGAAGGGCAGCACAGAGTGCAAACATCAGCACACTTCTACAAAACACATCTCAAACTTAATTTCTGAACAACGCTTTTTGCATACTCAGAGTCATTTTTTCAACATTTGGAATCCAAGTGTCAAAAATTTAAAGCTGCATGTAGTTTCTTCTCCATGACCACCCCAATATTAGACAGCACTTACCTAGCATATTCACTTCTTCTACATAAAACCTTTCTTCATGAAATCAATGCACACATGAAATCAATGCACACATACAACAATCAAAATAACTTCTGGTTTTATATTTTTCCTCAGGTGGAAAGGTGGAAAGAAACACTGTCCACATAAAACAGTAAGGCTCCATTTTCTTCCACAGAGTACAAGAAAATGTAAACAATATTGAGACTGAACTTCAGAATCATCCTAATTTTTTCCCAGCCTTTAGGGCAGCATTCCTTTATTTGTTTATAACAATATTTAACAGCATAAAGAGTAAAATAAGCAAACAGTCTGAGGCATTTGTACCAAGTGTTAGGATGGTGATCCAGGCTTGTATCTGCATACTAATTTTTTAGTCTGTCAAAGAAAAACATTGCTTGAGGAAGTGGGTCATGTGGTTATACAGGTGTTTTGTGGAGAGGCCAGATATGCCATGGTTCTGGTCAGAGTACCACTGGAAGACAAAGGAAAGAAACCAATTTTCTATCTGTAGCTACCTACTGCAAGTAGGACTTTTTCCAGCCCCCAGGAGCTGATTATTCAAATATTACAGAGAAAGTCTACCTGAGAACATTTAAATAAGAGTTTACATGGAAACATTTCAAACAGAGTGATTGAAAGCCTTCTTTATTAATCTTCACTACTATTCTTTTATTTTATCTCTCCATGGCTGAGAGTAACCAACATACTGGGGATCAGAGGCAGGTTTGTTTTTCAAAGCTGGTGCTCAGTGGCATTACTTGGCTTCTTTGGAGCTTAGAGTCTTTATTTTAGAAAGGAGTAGGTTGGATTTGACTTCCCCTAAGACTTCTGGTTCAAACATTCCACGAGACTTTTAGCCTTGGAATCTTATTCCTCTCTGCTGCAGAAAATCCACAGTACATAATACCATAATTACCCATTATGAGTTAAACACAGTATTAAACCTCAAAAGACAAAATAGGAAAAAAAGTACTTCAAATTTTAATTTTCTTTTTGAGTATTGTTGGTAAGGTGAATGTTTTCTACCAAATAAAGGTCATAATGAAACTTAATAGATAAATTTACTCTGGGGTTCCAATTAAAAAAAAAGATTAGAAGAATTTCATCTCATGATTTGCAAATTATTTTTTAAAAGCTTATTTTCAAAAGACAGGGTTTCCTTTTCTGGGTTCTTGTTTTTAAATATAATCAAGAGAGAGATAATTTATGCTCCCTGAGGATGAAGAAAGCTAACTACAGGGCAGTCCCCTGGTGTTGAACATATTTCTCTCTGTTTCACATTGTTTTTCCATTCGTATAACCTGCATTTTACCGTTAACTCATTCATTCATTCACTAGTGAAAATATGAGCTTTGGCAATGTGGCAGCCCTGTGCCTGGTATTGAGAACATATTGATTAAATAATTCTTTAACACTGAGCAGAGCCGCATAACTTCAGAGTGGGCTTCTGAAGTCCTTTGACATCCTGCAATTGTTTCTTTCAGAAAAAAGAAAACCTTGTAAAGTCTTTGGAACTCCAAGGTTTTGAAGGAACTCTAAGAATGTAGTGACATTCATGTACACAGAATCATAGATCTATCAGATGCTTAATCTAGAAGATTTTCTAATCTTACCAGGGTGTCTTTATTTCATATGTGGCTCAATTAAGATCCCAGAATTGCCACAGTTTGCCTGTTGTCCATCATGAAATTAGAAAAAGAGGCAAGATGCATTGCTAATGTTCTGCCTACTTTGCTCTGCAACTTTTGGGGTCAGGTTTTAGTTTGTTTTTAAAAGAAGATTCCTCTTTAGGGGCCTAAGGCCATGAACAAGAGTAAAACAAAATTATGTACCATTGCCTGGAAATCCACTTGTGCATTAACCAGAGCTTTAGCAATCTGTGCTGAGTTTTGAAAGTGCACATTATCTGTAACAAAGAGAGAGAGGGAGAGAGAGAGAGGGAGAGAGAGTTAAAGTGCTGTTAAATACCAGGAAGCATAGAGTGACAATGTACTGCCTGGAAATGAACACCAACAATTATCTAGTCATGCAGTTGACATTGTCAGCAGTGAGTAATCACACTCATTTATGGAAATGTCCCTGACTCTTAGGTACTGACCCCAAGCATAGGCATTGGAGGATGCTTAATGTTTCTTAAACAAAGTGATGCTGGCTCAGTATTTTTATGTGTAAGAGTCTTGCTTAAACCTCACCATCTGCTGTTCCGTGGATGAGAAGATAGTCTACATTTCTGAAATATTCTGCTCTTGCCATCACAGTTGAATTCTGGAAAAGAGGAAAAATTAACATTTTAGTTGCTGCAAGTTCTAATAGAAAACTAGCTAAATCATTGTGCAATGGACTTAGCACCAATACTGAAATTATGTATTGCTTTGGTTGATAAATATTTAAGAGTCAGAGCAACACATTTTCATCATCATTTGCATTACTTCCATCTGATTCTTAGTTTGAAAAACTGAAAGTTTATGTGTCATATGTTACATATGAGTGAGACCTTAGGCATAAATGATGCCCGCTCAAGCTGTGTGGGGGTTGGTGGTGGGGAGAGGATTGGGGGAAAAGAAAGTTAGGGAAAAGAGACCAAGGAAAGGAAGAATAAAAATAAAAAGGAGTAAATCTTTTCTAGTGAGGTCTTTTGTAGCTAACAAAAGATCATCATGTTTTCTGGGGGATGCAGGAAAAAAGTGTTTCCTCAGAAAGATGGCTTTAAAATGATTTATCACTGGTGAAATAAGTTAATGGCCCAAATAAAACTGAAAATGCTTACTTTATAGTGCTCCAGATTATCCTCCTTTGTTGGAAGACCCATGAATCGCTCTGTGTAGATAGATGCTGTGAAGATATAAGAATCTGCTTTGTCATGTCACCTATGCCATTTAGCCAAAAAGACGACCTAGTTTAGTGCTCAATTTTCCCCATGTAATGAAGGTTCTTGCTTTTCTTTACAGTAATGTTTCATCACAGTCATTTAATCTGCAATTAATCTCATAAGGGCTAGAGAAATGATGAGGAGATTATGGAACTAGGAGCATTTATTATTAGAAAGGGTGATCTTAAGCTCTTTTACCTCTATTTGAAGCCATTCAGAGAGGAGTGTTGAGATAGAAGTAACCTCATGACATGACGTCACAAATTTCAAAGAAATAACAAGTGCAGCCATTGTGGTTGCAGGTGTCTTCATTAATCTGGGATATAAATAGATTCCCCCCTTTTCCACCTCTCTCTATAATACACACACATCCTCCTTTTTTCCACACAAAACACTTACTTATCTTAATAAAAATTTCCTGCAAGTCACAACTATTTTAATTCTGTCCCAACAACAGGGAAGAGGTGCTGATGAAAACAAATTCTTAGGATATTTATTAGAACTAATTCCAAATAATCATCCTGAATTGATACTAATCATAATCAGAGGTACACCAGGGTGGTGTACTTCTTGAACAATTTGTTTCCTTTGATTATCTTATTCCTAGTGATTTCAGGGTGAATTTTACTGCATAACTCGTTTTCCCAGCAATCTCAAATGTAGAGTAATGATGTGTTAAATGTTTTAGCAGCCCTATTTATAATATGTTTCCATACCGTAATATTCCCAGCTGGAGACTGGAGCCACTGCTATGCCACATTTGAAAAGACCAGTTCCTGATGCAAGGGCAAGTGATGAGACATATCCTCCATAGGACTGCAGAGACATTGTTTCAAGTCAGTCCCAGATTTACTGTCACAAATTCTACCTTTTAATTTTATAAAGTCACTCACAACAAGGACTAGTGGGAGCTAGGGCATTTGAATAGGACAGGTGAAATGTCTAATACTCTTTACAACAAGCTCCACCACATATAACAGTAATTTCACCTCCTGTCAATTACACAGACTTGGTGTTCTGATCAGAACATGATACGAACAGTCTAAGAGATTTAATGATAAACTTTTCTGCAAAAACTTCGATTCGGTTTCTTTAATCAAGCTTTTTACTAGAGCAAAAACTGCAATTTTACTTAAAAGAAATGCACGAAAAAAGAAATCTATTCTTAAAATATAAATACAAGATAATTTCCACAGTTTGCAAAAGTCCTGTGAGGCAGCACTTGTGTCTAGGTATTTATTTTCATAACAGAACAGCAAGGGAAGGATATAAGAAGCAGAAGAAGCCTTTAGATTGCCTAAAGCATGGCCAGAGTTTGTGTATAATGTGATATTACATATTCTGCTTGGAGGATTTCCGACATAGCAGCTCAGAGGAGGAAAAGTCATTGGTATCTTTCAAGATCTTACATTTTCTCCCACAAATTTTGTAGAAAAAATGCAAAATAGGATACAAATTCCACAGTTATAAATAAGTGTAGAGTCTCTTCAGTTATCTCCTCAAGGAATCAATAGGTGATTTAGAAATGTGCCCTTAGTAACAGAAAGTCTTCCCATGTCAATTGGAAAGTTGAAGCTTTTGTAAATGAAGACTTGAATAGAACAAGTCTATATCTCCCCCTGGAAGACAAATTAGGTTTATATTAACATGCTGGAAGAGAGATACTTCCCTTGGAATAGGAAGTAAGTAGTATTCTGGGACATGGGATCCCTCAAAACAGTTGTGCTAAATTAGGAAATGATTCTCAGTGTTCATTTTCTCCCCAACACAAGGATGTCCTACAACTCATCAGAGGACAACTAAGTAGACTTTTTTAAAAAAAAAAAACTTCTTTCCCTAAATTGTGGGAATCGTTTATTTCAATCAGAAGAACACATATATTAACTTTTGCTACAGAAAAGTAAGTCTTAAAAGAGAATAAAAATGTGAGATTCAGCTGGATTGAACAAAAGAGACCAAGATACAGTGAGGCATGGGTACGGCAGCTGACCAGTGGCAAGGATCTCATCTAAATCCATAAAATACATGGGAAGGATGAGTTAAATAATAACTGAATTCAAAAGGTAAGGAAACATCTCTCTAACTGGCTAACTGTTGCATGGTCCCTACTCGATGGAATTTGATTGAGAATGCCCGGCATCTCCAGGAACACCAGGGGCTCTTTTTATATACTTGGAGAAGAACTAAAGCAGGAGAACTAAAACCAAATCAGGGGAAAACAAAATTTAAAAGGAGAAGGCATATTTATATTTACAAATAATTTCAGTAAGTAAAAGTTTTCTATCAGGCTTAAACTTTAACTTATAAAATTAATTTGTTTTCGATGAGTAAGTTAGCATCACTACAAAAACAGATTTTTCTTTACTTCTCAATTTTAGGTTTGCATAAGAATCAGTAAGCCTTCCTCTGGAAAAATAATAACCGTTATAGTTTTATTGGAAAAGTATAATTTCTGCCAATAACAATATCAGGGTCTTGTTTCTCCTCTACTAACTGCCTGAACAGGAAGTAGCAAGGAAGGAATTTAAAATGGAAAGAAATTACTTATAGGAAAAAGACTTTCAAAGAGTCTGCTCAAATGTTAGGAATTGTTTATCTGTATCTACCAGTGATCAGATGATGGTGATATATCTAAAAGAAACGTTTATGTTCCAGAATAAATACAAATCACTCCTATACATTCGAAAGAATAAAAACAACCATAGCAGTAATATAAAAAACAGAGGTGTACTTTTAAATTTTCAGGCAGTCTAGAAAAACTATTCCGATTGTAGAAATAAAGTGGGAGAAAGAAACCATGCTGACTTTTTTCTGCTCTCCCATCGGTGGGACTCCAAGGCAGAGTAGGAGGCTGCTGCAAGAAAGAACCCACGGAGCAGATTGGCCATGAGAATTCTGGAATTTTGTCCTTTGCACTTGGATGCCTTGCCATTTTACTAAAATGAAAGATAGCTTTAAAAAAATTCTTAGAAGGGCACAGAATTTTGAAGGGTTTATGGAGCACGCCTATGTGAGCCATAATATACCTTAACATAGTTTTACCACAGGCAATGACAATAACTAAGGTTTGTACAGCCAATGTTATTTTCCTGCTTTTTACAGTTTCACAAAGTCATCTCTCCTCTCCCACCACATATTTCCCCCATGTTCCTGGGCTCTCTCAATGTTCTTTGAACTCTCGAAGCATAATCTAACCTCCAAACCCTATTTCTCAACATACCATTTGGTCTCCCTCCCTCCCTCCCCACTTCATTTCTTAACTCAAAAGAAAACAAAAGTCTCACTTCAAGATGACATCCTCTGCTTTTCTAATCTTAAATTGTAGAAACCAGATGCTATTTTCTTCTCTTGTATCACTTTGTTTTTCTCCATGTGACCTGGCATCATTTACCGTACTATGTCATATTGATTTAACTTGTTTCTGATCTTTATTTCCAAGTACTCTCAATTCCACAGGCTTTTGTTTTAATTACATAAAATATTTGTCTTAACGAATGCATCATCAGCAGTGGGCTTTCCATTTATAATACAGTAAGAGCAGAATAAATATTTGTTTTTATAACTTTCCTAGTAACTTATCTAACCCTCACAGTTACCTGGCAAAGGTGCTGTTGCTGCAAATCCAGATGAGGAAACAGAGGCTCAGAAAGCATGTGCATCAGTTATGAACTCATCAAGCATCTGAGTCTGGACTCAAACCCAATACCTAATCACATCCCATACCGTTTCCTCTCTTCTCTACAGTAGAGTAAGCGTTTGGGGAAACTTTAAGTTCAGAGTCTAATAAAGTCCCATTAGAAGTGCATTTGTCCTACTTTTACATTGTAGATCACACATAGTAATTCAAATTGCTTATAATTAGTCACTGGAAGAAAAAGGAACTAAGATTAAATCATGAACTAATGCTTATTCAACACCACCTGGCTAGGCCTATATTAACAAAGCAAAGCCCGTAAATGAGGTTGCTGTTCTAATAATTTAGGCAACCCCCCTGCTGCTCTTCAATTGTCAGAATAATTACTTCAGTTTCCTTTGCATAAAATTGGGTTTTATGACCTCAGTGTTGTTGACATTCTGAGTAGGAGAATTCTTTTTTTCTTTTTCGTTTTTGGTAGAATGCTGTCCAGTGCATTGTGAGATATTTTACAGTATTTCTGGCTTCTAATCACTAGATGCCAGTGTCATTTCCCAAGTTGTGACAGTCAAATCTATCTTCAGGCTTTGCCAGAGATCCTTTGAGGAGCAAAATTGCCTGGTTAAGAACCACTGTTATACACAGAAACTTCTTTGGTACAGCCCTGGACTCATACTAGATATTTACAGAATAGCCGAAAATAAGACTAATGGGCTTAAATGAAAGGATGAGATAAATAAATCTCTTTATCTTTTCTAAATCATCACAATGTATAAAGAAAATATAGAATTTACAGTTAACTGACCACTTGACTTCAAATAAAGTGTAAGCATGAATGTGTTATATTTCTTAGATTACTAATATGTCTAATACTTCATGCAAATGATACTTTATTTTCTGATATAGAATGCAAAATTAGCTGAAAAATCCTCAGTGATTAGCAACATTTTCCTCTTTATTGTCTCCAATTTTTCCAGAGTCTGCTTATGACCTCTTTCTATCTCCTATTTCATGGCCTAACACAAGTTCTTGGTAATTGTTGCCAGTATTGCTGCTCACCTAGTTTCTTGGCCCACTACTCCTTCCCTTCTGTCTCATCTTACTCCTTATTCTATAGCCAATATTCTCTTTATAAGAAAACAATACCAATACTATTGATTTCAAGAGGTGCTCACAGAATCAGCTATGTTCTTTGAGTAACACATATGCACCATTACATAGAATTCACTTACCAAACTATTATACCATAGAAACTTTCCCTGAAAAATTTCCTAGTATGCACCTGGGGAGAATGGGCTAGGAATCCTATTTCTTCAATATATTAATTTCGCCAAGTACCATGGCAACCATTTGAGAAACAAAGGTTAAAAAAACAAAAAGATAAAGTCTTTCTCCTAATTTACTAGCATTCTCATGAAAGAAACCAATAGTGATGTAAAAAGCACTATTACTAAAATATAGTGTTATAAGAGCACAAAGAAAGCTATATTTGAGTTGTCTTAAAAAACAAATATGAATTTTCTGTTTTTCTATGAGGAAGTAGAAGAAAATGAAAGATAAATATGGATATACAGGCACAGGGAACAAAAATCAGAACATCACAGAAAATAAGGAAGCACAGAGATAAGGCAAATTACTGAGTAGGGGCAGAAGTGGAAAGATATGAGACAGAACAAGTAAACTTCAGATTGCTAAAAGCCTTCCATGCAAGCAAGGGAGCATTAAGTTAAAGATAGTATGTGACCTTAGAAAATATGTAAGTAGAAAAACAATTGGGTAAGTATTGTGTTTTTGGGGCTGGAGTGATAGCACAGAGGGCAGGGTGTTTGCCTTGCATGTGACCGACCAGGGTTAGATTCCTCCATCCCTCTTGGAGAGTCCGGCAAGCTACCAAGAGTATCTCGCCTGCATGACAGAGCCTGGAAAGCTCCCCCTGGCATATTTGATATGCCAAAAACAGTAACAACAAGTCTCATAATGGAGATGTTACTGGTGTCCACTAGAGCAAATCGATAAACAACTGGAAGACAGTGCTACAGTGTGTTTTGGAATAACTTCATAACCATCAATAAAGCTTGTGAGGCCAAAGAGAGAAACTTAATTTGTGGCAATTAGTATAGCTAAATGGGTGCCACTCAACTTTTACTTCATAGACCCCCCAAACCCAACACATTACCCGTAA